GTGAGATAATCCATTCCTTGTTGAGGAATAAAGTTGTATTTTTACGATATTTTTTTCGAGAGAGAGAGCTGAAGCCGTGAGTGAGAGTGACCACGCGCCCTTTGTCATAATCATCATAACGTCGTTAGGACTAATGTTAAGACTAACTTTATTTCTGGCGACGGGCTCCAGGTGTCCAAGTGCACGAGGCATATCGCACCATGTCGTGATGATGAGAATTATGCGCAATACTCGGGTGCGACGTGAAATCCTTCAAACTTACATGTTCGTGCAAGTTTAATTTCGTGTGATGTAATACCGCTGAATAACTAATCTGGCTTAAATGAGTACAATACTGATAATATCGATTTATTTAAATCTATCACGAATAAAAACTTCTATCGATGTTCACGTTGACGATTCTCATATACTATCAAATCTAAAATGCTTATTGCCTTAACCTAACCAACGTCTGAAAAATGTCGTGGTGGAATTCTTCATCTTCGGGTCGATATATTCCGGGTATTGATTTCCCGGTCAGTCTGCTTTAAGTTATGCGGTTAATCAACCCATTGGCCGCCTCTACTACGGCTTCTCTGGTGTTGCCTGTCCCTCGATCACGTTTGTTTGTCTGACCAAGTCGCATTGGCTTACATAAAAGCTGCATTAGCTACGCTAAAAGCCAGACCTCAAATTTCGCATGAACTATATTATTATTATTATTATTATTATTATTATTATTGTTATTATTATTATCATCATCATCATCATCCTCATCATCATCATCATCATCATCATCATCATCATCATTATTATTATTACACATTATATTGGGAATCTTCCGACCTTGGTCGAGTATTCATGCTTTCATGTCTGATTTGTTCCGATTGGCCACGAGTGACTCAGCGAAATCCGAGGTGAGAGGAGAATGCTAAAACCCCCGTGCAACAATTTTGTCGGTAGATGTTAGAGTGCTCGCGAAATTAACGACACGCGACGAGTTTATCAAAATAACACGCATCTATGACCTCGACGCGCTGTGTTAACTTATACGACAATACAAGACATGATCTTAGCGAAAGTAGTTTGCTCGAGCTTTATATTCGCGTATAGAAGACACCGCTTTAAGCAACAACAAACTGAACACTTTCTTAGAAGTTCTTCCTTTTTTAGAATTCTCGACGTAATTGACAACAACTCGCAAATAAGGAGAACTGGTTGAATAGAGTGCATCGAGTAAAAATACAATAGCCGCGTTCACACGTACGTAGCAAGAAATCCGGTATTTAGCGTTCACACGAGGCAAAATGCGCGGTCCAAGAAATACGGTATCTAAACAGATCCGGTATTTGATGTAAATACACGGCTTCTCAGACCCCGAATAAATTGCCGTGCTTGAGAAATACCGGATTTCTTGGACCGCGCATTTCCACGTGTGAACGCTAAATACCGGATTTCTGAAGCCTCGTATTTTATAGACTGGTCCGCGCTCTACAGTTCCAGTGTAACGCGAGTAGAACTGTCGAGCGCGGACCAGTCTACGTATTTTATCGGCAGTTGGTGCGCATTGCATTGTTTATTTCGTATTGTTCGCTTGATTGTTTAAAGCAGCTCGCAGCTCGCAAATACCGTATTTCTGGAACCGCGAATCAGCGTGTGAACGCTCGGCCGCGTATTTGTCTCAGATTCGGTATTTCGCAAATACCGTATTTCTGGAGCCACAAATCAGCGTGTGAACGCTCGGCCGCGTATTTGTCTCAGATTCGGTATTTCGCAAATACCGTATTTCATTATATATACGAGGTCTCGTGTGAACGAGGCTATTGTAACGCGCAGCATCTGCCAGGAAAAAGCCTGCCGCGCACAGCGTCGGGTAACACGCAAGGCGTGCGGGCTTGTGATCGTGTGCGCGCGCGTGTATGTGTGTTGCGCCTGGAACTAGGCCCCTAGCTACTGCTGATGTGTTCAGCGCTCTCCTACGAGTCGGATTTAAAAACAAAAGTAAAATAGCAACATATTTGCCGTCCGTATGCCGACAGTAGATTTATTTCTAAATTGCGCACATTGGGACCGAAAAACGGCGCAAGTAGCGCACGAAGGGTCGTTGTCGTAACAGGTACTACAGATATGTACCCGAGGTAGTTTTAGGTTGTTTAGTATTATGTTTATATTTTTATATGAGGTATGTTTAGGGTTAGGGTTAGGGTTAGAGTTTGGGTTAGAGTTAGGGTTAGGGTTAGTGTT